ATGCTGGTCTTACACGCCACATCTCTGAATCCAGAACACCAGCATCACGCCGGTTTGTGTGGTTCAGTGTAAACCAGTAACAGTAGACTAATGTAGTCAGCTGAATTAGAGCGTAATGTGAAAAGGGGCTATTAGGGACAGCAGTAAGGGGCTGGACACTGTCAGGTTGAGGGAGAAAATGTAAAACTCATAAATAGTAAACATGTTAATTTTGGTCTAGACATGGCTCTGTGTGTATGTGCGTGTTTTTACCCAGAAAACTGGGGTTGCTGTTACAGAAAAACCCTAGAATAGATTTTATAACTTCAGTTTTATTTATATTTTTGGACAAAAAAAAAAGTTGTTGGCATCTGGAAGAGTTCCGGTGACTTATAGGCAGCATGTAGTCCTTTACATGTCGATTATTATTGTTATTTGAAGATGAAGGTCAGTTTCTTTCTTAAAATGTTTTCATGTCGCCTTTCTTCCCTTTTTGAGGATTTGTCTGCAGCCACTGACAAATCCTATTTTAACGAGTTTGTTCTGTATTCTCTGAAGGCATTGTGCTCATAGAGGTAACTGTTTGGTAAACTGTGCAGAGAGCATGCTTCAGTTAGGTGAGGTTGATTTGGTAAAAAGCCAGTAAATAATGTGTACTGATAGGAAAGTAGGTTGGCATGCTTCCTCTTTGCTTTAAGTTGTGTTTATTGCATTTGCGGGGAGTCTATATTGCACTGCTTTTATTAATATTTTTGATAACTGCCACTATCTTCGCACATACCTGCACATTTCAGTACCAGAACACATCTTCTGCACTTTACATTTAGTGGCAGCATTACAGCCTTAATTCAACAAAATGTATTGGATTTTGAATAGTGATTAAAATCTTTGCTCCTTCCCTCCGTTTCCCCTTCAGGTATTTCTCACTCCAGGCCACCAACCCTCTGGGCTTCGGCGACTCTGTGCGGATGGAGATAGAGTCAAATATCTGCCGGGAGGGAGGACCACTCCCCGACTGTTTCACCACTCCACTCAGACAGGCCTGGACAACCATGGAGAAGGTCAGATTGTCTTGATAGCCACACAGCAAGGACTCCATAATATTCAGTATGGATTTGCTCCTGCATTACTGCCCTATGTGAGGATATAAAATGTTCAGATGTATAAAATAACACCCAGGAACATAAACGTGTGAGTTGCCCTTTAAAGTATTAATTAGATATTTTAACAAATGATCTGCTTGAACTGTTTTCTGGAATTTATTAGGATCCTCTGTGAACCTTTTGTGTTGTAAGTTCCTGACAAATTGTCCTATTAAACCACTGACAAATGCCCCCTGCCTTAAGTTAATAAAACGAACGCTGATGACTGTTGGTAAGATGTAAAGGTCAGGAAGTAAACCTTTGTGACTCGTGCCCACAAGAATACCAGGCAGCTCATTATTTTCTAACCGAGTTCACCCTGGTTTGCGTTTGTTCAGGTCTACATGCCAGGCTTCCTGTCTAGCAACCTTTACTACAAATACCTGAGTGACCTCATCAATTCGGTGCGGGCGGATGAGTTTGTGAATGTCAGCACTCCAGGTCAGGGCGGGCCCGCGGACAACGACCGCTCAAGTTCAAATGCCAGCGAGGGCTCTCAGACTCAGGTGACCCTCCCCCAACTTTCACCCACATCTCCAGCCCCTGTGGGGACGTTTCTCTGTCTGCTGACATTTAGACCTGTCCTGCATCATTACACGAATAACGAAGATGCTTTTGTTAATGCCAAGGGGTCGTGATCGTCCCCGTTATGTAGTTGTCTTTACAGAAAGAAATGGTCGCTGCTAAACATTCCGTTCATGGTATTTTCACTACAGCAAGGCGCCAAAAAGGCAGTAATCAAGATCCTGAAGAACTTCGACGAGGCGATCACGGTGGACGTTGCCAGTCTGGACCCCGAGTCCTTGTACCAGCGGCCGTACGCTGGGTGAGTGCTTTAACTGTATAATCACAGAAAATCATCACATGAAGTCCTCTTTTTGCAGATTTGCTATTATCTAATTTATATTTTGGTAATTTCCCCTGTTGCCCACATGTTTCACTCCTTTTATGTTCTTTTGATTGCTCAGCTCCCTCAAAGTGTTTCATGAGCTTGCTTTGAAAATTCGAGAGCATCATCTTATTGAAAGACAAAACTTCCGTCTGTCAGATTTATTTTTTCCTCTCGCTGAAGTTATCCACACGCTGACGGCGGTGTTTGAATGTTGTGTGTGTGCATCAGAGGATAAATTCTGTCCCATTTGCTCTCCCTGTCCTCTCAGAAAGATGACGTTTGGGAAGGTGAACGAGCTGGGCCAGTTTATCAGGGAGGCAGAGCCAGAGCCGGATGTGAAGAAATCCAAAGGTACGATACGCTCACGCTTTCCTCCGTCTCTCGCTCTCACTCTGTCGTATTTTATTTTTTTTTATCTCTTTCCTCCTTGCAGTGAAAAACGTCTTCTCTATGCCCATGAATATAAACCTCATCTGGGTGCTTCTATTCTCCCTACAGCTCATAGTCTTCTGAAATATTTAAGTACTTTCCCATTGGAAAAAAAAAACAGCCTTCACCGCTCTTCAGGTCTAACAACAAAAGAAAAATCGTGTCTCCTAAAGTGCTTTTTCTAGGACTAGGAAAAAAAAGACCTATGGGCTGAAACCTAAAGATGGTGACTCTCTGTTGATAAAATATTTTTCACATATTAATAGCAAATTCTGGAAAGGAGCTGAATTCATGAGGATATAAAAATGAACTTAATTTTGGGGGCACTTTACAGAGAAAGTCAGATCAGCCTACGGTTCAGTTTTGAAGCCGTGTTTGTGATTTGTGCTGACCGATTCAGTCTCAAGCACCTCTACCTCTCTTCTTATTCAGGTTCCATGTTTTCTCAAGCCATGAAGAAGTGGGTCCAAGGCAACTCAGATGAGGTGAGGTAGCAAGATGTTCAGTTGTCATAAATGATTCAGTGGTCTGAGGCACAGAGCAGTGTTCTCTCAGTGGCATGTCAGGCCTCCAGAGTGCAGCCAAATGTCTGTCAAGTGCGACTAAACATTTCTATTGGTGCACCTGGCATTTAGCAGCTCTGTCTCTGGGCAGCCTGCTCAGGTCGATAAAATCTCTTGGTTTCACCTTCAGGTAATTAGAACTCCTTATTTTACTCTCTGTTCTGTGCTGAGTGGAGACTAGAGTCTTCTCTGTGCACGGTTGCTTCGTGGTGTCTACTGATGCGTGTGAGGAGTTCATGGAACATCAGTAAATTATGGCGTCTACTAAACGTGGGGTGTTTCTGGGACATCTATAAATTGCCATTCGAGAAAACAACCCTTTCCTTCTTAACTACACGAGCGTCTGCAAGCACATCAGTCGTGTCGCACCGCCCACCACCGCACGCAAATTCTCAGTCTGTGAGAAACACCGAGCGACGATCTGAACGGCAAACGTTTTGCATTTATTGCAAAGGGTGCAGCCGAAGCACGGCTGGGAACGGCGCTTTTGCTGCCAGCGATGATGTTCTAAATGTAAATGAGTAAAACAAGCCCAATGTCTCTGAGAAAGTCGTCGTGTGTCGTGACTGAGCAGCCACCCTCTCTGCAGCGTTTCAGCACCAGGCAGCGACGAACTGCAGCAGCGATGAGTCAGAAGTGATAATAAAACTTAACATAATATAGCTCAAGTCCCACATCACCCTGGTGAAAAAGAACAAAACATCTGTACCTTTATTCCTGTTTACATTCATTTACATAATGTGTTAAGAAATGACCAGTCTGTGTGTGAACTAATAAAAACAAGTGATGCTTATTGTATATTATTCAGAGCTAAAAGATGCTGTGAAAAGGTGCATTGAAATAAAAAAGTTCTGCACAAAAGTGTAACCAGCATGAAAAGTTAGTCTGGAGTCCTGCACGTATTGAAATTCACTGTGTGATGTCAGTGCCTGACTGTTAGAGAATATAAATAGAAATGATTGTTTGTGCTGTAACTCTTGCAATCAAGGCCCAGGAGGAGATGGCGTGGCAGATTGCCAAGATGATTGTCAACGATGTTGTCCACCAGTCAAACCATGACAGCCCCAGCAAGAGCACCAAGGTACAAACGCTCTCTCAGTAATCTGGTGTAGGACGACAACAGATCTTCTGCTAAGTGTCTTCTTTTGTGTGTCTGCAGTTATGACCCCACTGAGGCACCAAAGGACTGTCACTCCCTGCAGACGCTGGCCAAGCCAGTGATAGACTGAACACAGGGTTCATACTGCAACGAACAGCATTACTCTGAGAAAGAACAAGGCATCTCATCACCTCCCCAGCCACCGTGTGTCTGAGTGTGTGTGTGGTAGTGAGCCTGGGCGAGTGATCGGTCACACATGGACTAATAGAAAACTTGAAGTTCATCATTGTTCCAATCTTCCAACTCAGTAACACTATAAAGGTACATCTGTAGTGGCGACAAGTAAAGCCGAGCGCCTGCATCAGACTGGTGAGCGTTACTCCTGAAGAAGGAACATGATACCAGAAGAAAGCCGGACGAAGAAGCAGCAGGATGTTGGTCAGAACTATCACTGCTTTGTCAGTCTTACTGCGGACCTACGGAGGATGTGACAAGGACTGAATTATGCTCACTCCCTCATGACACACCTCCCCACACCTTTGAAAACCATTCCTTGTTTTTACATTGAAATCCTCTCCTAAGGGTCAGCTGCTTTAGGCTCATTGGTTCGGAGCGTTGTACAGTTTTTGCATACGCTTCCCTCAGCCTGCCTGGAGTGGTTCTGTCAGCTGTTCACTGATGTTAGCTGTCCTAACCTTTTGCGTACTGTAGAACATCTAGAAATGTGACAATGAAACAGAAGAAGAGCTCGGGCTGAGTTGGTGGACTGGCTGACCTTCTGTATGAAAACCCCGGCACCTTTACAGAGCGTAGAAGAAATACTCCCTAAATGAACTTAAGTGCTCCAGTTGTGTTGGAAAACTCCAAACTTCTTGTCCTAAATGTTCTATATATATATATATAAATATATATTTAGATTTCTGGTTTACCCCATATATTAATGTTAGTCCTTTTTTATGGTGATCGCTCATTTTTTTTTTACACATCTCTGAAACAGACTTCAGTGATGACCGGACTGTTCAACTGGAAAGTGTGCTCAGTAAATTAAACAGTTTTTTAAATTTCTTTTGAGCCTTACCAAGATGTGGAAGAAAACCAGAAAAGACTCTTGGTACTATGTACCACTAATGTTTTCTGACATGTACGTGTACTTAATCTATAATATATTTAAATTGTGTTTGATTTAAATACATATATTATGAAATGTTTCTGTCTGTCCTCATTGGTTTTTTTTTTCCTTTTGGTGAGATTTAGCTGTGCTGTTGCTATATTATTGTTGTTTCAGTCCACTGCAGGCAGCGTTTTTATACAGATATCATGTTTACAGGCAGATTTATTTTTATTATTTGCAGCATAGTATTATTAAAATGTGGGGGAAAGTGACAAACCCAGTGCCACCACCAGCAGCAGTGGGGTGGACTGTTATCCCCTCTGACCATGTGGGGGCAATGTTGATTGTATTGCTGTGTTGGGGTAAAATAGCGCCGGTGACACAGTGTAGTATTTCTGACAGAATGGGTACGTCTTGTTTTTCTGTTGCTGAGGCTACTCTGGCCTCGGTTACAACAGGTCCAGGGGGATCCACAAATTGTAAACTACAACTCAAAGGGCAACTTCAGCACAGTACACAGCATTTAAAAAAACCTGGAATTCATGTTTACTGGTCTCACTGTTGTTGTTACCTCTCGTGGTGGAAGTCAGACGTTTCAGGAGGGACGCTGGGCTCTTCAGTATTTTTTGAAAACGTGCATTTGTCCCGTCCCCCACCCACCCAATAAAAAAAAACATAAAAGAAGCAGAGGACTTTTATTCTGAATTGTGTTGGCTCAGCAGGGATAATATTAAATGAGATCTACAGGAGAATAAATATTTGAAAGCAACACGGAATGCCTGAGAGCCTCGCTGCAGCGTATGCCATTATATTTTAAATCTTCAGCTGGTGCCTGAATTTTCTGTTTACCTGTACATAAATAAAGACTGCTCCACCTTGATTTGGTGCAGAAAAGGGCATCAATTGATGCATGAAAATTCACCAGAATGCAGCACAATCAGTGTCCTGGCTTCATGTGACCCCCAGTGTTCAAATAAAATTTTCAAAAATATCTGTTTTTATATTCAATGTCATGCAATTGTGTGTATCTGAAGATAACATTTTAAAAATCGGTGTCACGTTGCTGCTTGAAGTGACACCAGCTCATTGGGGTTTGCATACTGAAGGTACCTGCACGTGCAGCGGCGACGCCCACCTTGATACAACGCCGACCTGTGTCCTCGGCTCTGATTGGCTGAGACGTTGCTACAGCAACTGAGGGACACACCTGTGCAACAACTAAAAATCAGCACCGATAATCGCTTTAACTGCGCATGTAGTTGCTCAGAGGCGGTTTGTTTGCAAGGAAATATCATTTACTAGAGATTTAATAAATACTTTAATTGGCTGTGTTTGTCATTGTGGACGTGTGAAGGCTGCAGCAGTGCACATGGTAACAAAGTGGAAGGTGTATGAGGGCAGGTGTCTGCGCCCAGACACCCTCCAGGGCAAGTTACAAAGAGACAACGTGCAAAACACCGTATAGGAGGTGCTGTGCCTTCAAAATAAAAGCATTTGGAGAAGCTGCCAGTCTGAAGCTGGTGCATTCCCCAAATTCACATACAGGAATTTGTGCTGTTTCTTCCAGGGTAATGTTTACACCGACTTATTTAAATGTTCAACTTACTGTATTTTAATGATGTTAACAGGCTGGGATGTAATATATTCCTATCATTTTGTACTATCTGTGAGTAATGCATACATTTAGATCTGAAGAACAGTGAAGCCCGTTTTATTTAAACATATTTGAAATGAATCACATCAGGTTCTCTCGGTGCTCATCCTCATTCACACTGAAGAGTTGTGATGATCCAGTTTGGGATTTAGTGTGACATTTTAAAATGAATGATTAAGTATATTTAAAGGGTGATTTAATATGCCGTAAAGTTTAGGGACTCATATATTAGAACCAAAGAAATGAAATAGCACAACCCTGAGTTTAGGTCCCAAGTGCTAAACACTGAGTCCTACATTTCCCACAGTGCAACCAGTATAGTGTAATTGGAGGACATTCTTAGAGTTATTGTGTCAGATTCTTTCAAAAAAAAAAAAAAAGAGCTCTAAGTGCTTCAGTAGAAGACGACTGAACTTCTCTTTCTGGTTCTTGAGGACATTTCACTTCTCCTTTAAAAAAAATCCATTAAAAAAAAAAAAAAATCAAGGTGTAAATGGTTTGGAATTTCAATTAATCAGCACAGAGATCTTATAAAAAACTGTGACGCCACTTATCAGGTGTTTATAATGCAGTCCTGGGATCTCTCCTTGGACACATGAAGAGTTCGTTTGCAAAAACAGAAAACTCCATTTTTGCAGATTTTCAGAAAACTTTCTTTTGTTGTTGCTTGCTTGAGATAATATCAATCAAACTGAAGTTGAGTGGATCTGACTCAGTAGAAATAGAGATAACTTAAGTTTGATTGATATTGTCTCAGGTAGACAACGAGAAATGGGTTTTCTGAAGGTTTGTGATTATTTGGAGTTATCTGTTTTTGCAAATGAACCCTTCAGATTCACCATCATTACCACCCTGCATCCTCAAGAACCCAAAAGTAGTCCAGACACTTTATGATTATCGTGATGTGGATTACTGAGAATCTATATAGACGTATTTATGTATGTATATATTTTCATAGCCTGAGTCAGAGAAATGTTCATCACAGTAAGTAAACTAATAGTCGCGTAAAAAATAAAAATGCAGTTATCTGCCTTTAATTCTAGTCGTTTTAGATCAGGGGTGCCCAATCCTGGTCCTCGAGAGCCCCTATCCAGCATGTTTTAGATGTTTCTCTCTTCCAACACACCTGATTCAAATGATCAGCTCATCATCAAGCTCTGCAGAAGCCTGATAACGATCATTTGAATCAGGTGTGTTGGAAGAAGGAAACATCTAAAACATGCAGGATAGGGGCACTCGAGGTCCAGGATTGGGCACCTCCTGTTTCAGATGATTCATGGTTTTGCCTCCAGCCTCACCACGCCTCGTCTGACGGGATTTTACTTTGAAAATCTCCCCCAGAACCACCCTCATTAACTTGCGCTCACTTGACGGCGTCCGCACTCGCACTCTCTCCGGGAGGCAAAGTGCGCTGGTTGTCCGTGCAGAGGCAGAGCAAGTCCGGTGGGAGCAGCAGAGAAGAGCCGCTCCTGCAGCAGGTCCAGCCGTGTGTGCGTGTGTTTTGTGGGGTTTTTTGCGGTCTGAGCTGATCTGCGCTCTCCACCTGCGCTGGAATGACAGCTGCGCATCCAAGCTCTGGGTGTGACAAACATACTGAGAGTCAGATTTGGGCATCGCACCAGGCTGAGTGTGGGCGCGGAGGACTTGACTTTACTGGATCAGCGGCTTGTGTTTCCAGACCAGATGTTCTGTGAGGACTTGCTGCGGTCACTTCTTGGGGTTTTTTTTGTTTTGTTTTGTTTTGGGTTTTTCTTTTTTGCTGATGTAGTGCCGCTCAGGAGGCTGAAGTTGGAAGTCTTGAAGGCGTGAGCTCCAAATGCATTCGCTCCTGGGCCGGGAGAAGAAAGAAGAAGAAGCCGGGTTTGGGATCGAGCTGGGTCTGTCTCCGGGCTTTCTGCTGCCCCAAGCTGCCACCATGTTCAGCTGCGTGGGCTGCTTCTGGGTGCTCCTGTCCTCCGCTCTGGTCGCCGTCTGCAGCTTCAGCTTCATCTCTCCCGCCTGGATTGTTAAGGACCAGCTGAGGAACAACAACAACCAGCAGCAGCAGCAGCATCAGCAGCAGCAGCAGCAGCCCCATCACCACATCCACAACAAGGACTCCGTGAGCTTCGGCTTGCTGTGGCACTGCTCGGAGTCTCTGGATCACATGTACGGCTGCTACGCCTTCGGGGAACTGGGCAAATTTGCAGAGATCCCCTCCAGCTCCTGGCAGGTAACTTGCACGCCCATGACTGTCACATGTGGGGCATCAAATCACCTGATTCAAGCACAAAAAATGCTCTTTATTTCATCAAATTAGACCCCATAATGAGTCATTTATGTCACACAACATCTCATTTCCTGCAGAAGTCCATGCAGTTGTTGAGGTTTTTTCAGGTGACAAAAGGTGAAGTGCACATGTGCCACAGTGAACCTCAATGCTCCTCCTTCACACACACACACATTTGGGGATGGTGCAGTGCTTTTCAGTCATAAGAAATGATTCATTGATCAGGAGGTGGTGGTGCTGGGGCATCACACTGAGCAGCATCTGCAGCACAGCACGCCAGACACACATCAAAGCTGCGAAAGTGGCACCAGGTTGGCAGGGTGCTCACCGATCAGGGCGCCCTACCTGCAGGAATTTCAATTTGGCCCGTCTTTGTCAAATTGCTGGTGGGGGTGTGAGTGGGCTTAAGCATCCTGGCATGATGGGAGAGGAGAGGGAGGAGGGGGGGAAGCATTTGATCACATCACTGGTCCAAGTTTTGATAGTAGAAGAGGAAAAAATAAAAGTTTGGAAATGTCTGCTTGAAATCAGATTGTTGCTGGGACAACAGGAAGAAGGCTTGTTAGAGAGAAAAAAAAACAATTGGCCTTGTTAGTCGTCCTGGATCTGGGACGCAAGTAGTGGGGTAATGTCATTACTCACTACAGGCAGGGTGTTTGTGCCCCTCCCTCCCTCCCTCCATCCCTGCAAAACCCTGCATCCCCCCCTCCACCCAAACTAAAAAACCCTACAGTGCACCAGCCACCTCTGGAGTTATGATTTATGTATGAAGGGGAATTAGCATTTGAAAGGGAGATATTAATAAGTGCTGCTTGTGTGATTGTAGCGCAAAGCATCCGCAAAGAGGGAAGGAAAGAATGCAACGCCTGGCTTTTTCTCTTCACAGGGAAGCACAGGTGTTGAAACTGCAGAGGCAGATTGGGATCTCGTCTCATTTATATTCATGCATTAACTTCTACGTGTCCTTTTTTTGCTGGATTTTTGAACGCGTTGCACTGTGTGTTTTTTTTTTTTAAGGCTCATTTGGCTAAAATCAGGAGCCCATTTAGCCAGTTAGCCAGTTGTCAGTGCATTAATTAGTGTCCTCCCAGTCATGAGCTGCTCTCTCAGTGAGGCTGATGGAGCTGCGTCCCAGGCGCTCAGCTACATGTGTTATTACGGCGGTGAACCCGAGCGCACGATCCTGCTCCCACAGCCATTAATAAAGGTGAAGGGGCCATTAAGTTTTCATCAGAGCCACTTTATTACTCCACCACTCCTCGCTGATGTGCGCATCCTTTTGCTGATGCCCTCCATTTTCAGTTTGTCAACACGCAGGAACCTGTGCAGAGCATGCAGGTGTGTGTGTGTGTGTGTGCGCTCTCGAGGTGTCCGCGACGCTCTGCACACACAAAGAAACACGGCCCACCAGCTATTAGTTCCACTCTGTGTTGGTGGTGTAGCAGAAAACTATCAGTGTGCATCTGTCGTCTCCATCAGAGTGGAAGAGCCTTACTCTGAGCTCAAGTCTGAGGAGCCGGGCCGAGCCCTGTGAGGAGAGGGTGAGGGTGGGGGAGGCTCCCTGAGAGGATGGCCTACTTGTGCTGTAGTTTCTGTGGGCTTTTCTGTTGTCGCTCCATGTTGTCAAAAGCTCTCCTTTTGGACGACGCTGCTGAGCTCCAGTGCTGCTGGCGCCGAGGAGCCCAGCGCTGTGGGCCGGAGCCAGGCTGGCAGGGACACACACACACACACACACACACGAGAAGTAAAAGTAGGTGACACAAACTTGTGCTTATCTCACAATATCAGATTTTCAATGTGCAGTTTTCGTGGCCAGCAACTATATCATGGAGTCAGATTTTTAAACTTTATTTATTTTGTTTTTGTCTCTTTCTTGGCAAATTAATTACACTCAAAATTCAAGGAGCGGGATGAGGAGAGTCTGTAACCATCACTGCCCTGTATGTTGTTCACGTGTTGGATGATTAGTGGCACTACATCACCGACATGATACCAGTTCTTCATTTGGTTTATTTTCAGCTACTTTGGCGCAGTGATTCGGTCCCAACTCCAACAATGGAGTGTTTTGAGTTTGCGACGACTGAGTCACGCCTCACGGCAGCTCCATAATGACGGCAGATGTTAGAGCAGAGAAGTCTGACAGAGTAAGAAATCTGAGAAACTGATTCAAACTCATGTCCGCACAATAAAGCGGCAGTACGGGAGGCTCCTGTGTTCTATATTTAGGATGTCATTAAGAGAAAATAATGACATCTGGGAATTTAGAGTAGAGAAAGTCCTTCTAAACCCAGCGACTCCTCCAGTGTCGCATCTCTATACCATCATGTGTAGGCGTGTGAATATATGAAAGGTGTAACTGCATGTCCTGAACACGCTGGATGAAGATCGGACAGATTTACGTGATGTGAAGGCGCTCCTGTCTCTATAGGTGAAGGCTGGTAGAATGTGTGTTGTATTGTTCGCTCCTGTTGTCATTAGTGTCCAGCTACATGGCGTCTTTTGTGTCTTTTTCTGTGCTATAAAAGCCAAACGGCACAACAATAAATCACATGCATTGACAGTATTACACTTCATCCAGTAGCTTTATATGAATGACACACTCTGGCAGATGTAAGACGTTTATATCTGCTGGACTTTTCCAGCAGTTACAGTCAGATGGTGGCTGCAACTAATGATTATTTTCATTAGGCGGGTCTGATATTGTCGTTTTTGTTATTATCTGATATGCCGATATTGTCCAACTCTCAATTTCCGGTTCCGATATCAACCAATACCGATACTGATACTGATTCCGATATCGGTATCGGTATCAGTATCAGTATCAGTATCAGTATCGGTATCTCTTTGTTACTGCTACTTGTTTACATTCTTCACGACGCAGTTTGATGCCGTCGTCATCATTTGTGTGCCAGTAAATGCCGGCGAAATCCAGGCATTATATGATCAGTTTTCATTATAGGAAAAAGAAACGATATTGTCAGATTTTACATTTTTATGCCAATATCGGCCCTATAATATCGGTGGGCTGATATTATCAGACATCCTTAATTTTCATCGTTAAGTAATCAGTCAAATATTTTCCCAATTAATCGATTTGTTTTTTGGTCTATAAAATGTTGATTAGAGTTTCCCAGAGCTCAAGTTAACGTCTTCATATGTCTTGTTTTGGCTACAACTCAAAAAATATTCAGTTTACTGCCACAGAGGAGGAAAAACAGGAAAATATTTAGGTTTAAGAAGCTGGAATCAGAGAGCTTTGACTTAAAAAAAAGCTCAGGTTGATCAATTATCAAAATTAATTAACTTAATAGTTGGCAAGTGATTGATTAATTGTTGCAGCTCTAAGTCAGATATACCAGAGCTTCTAGAAAGATGAGTTTCTCAGTGATAATAGATGAATGTTGAGAGCAGCTCAGTCGTGAACACTGTTGCTCCACAGCAGGAAGGTTCTGTCTTGGGTTCTGCATCTTTTATGTGGAGGTTGCATGTGTGGGCTTTCTCAAGGTGCTCCGGTTCACACCCACGATCCACGAGCATGCACGACAGGTCAGATGACGACTCTGAACTCACTGTAGGTGTGAGCGTGCACGGTTGTCTGTGTCTTTGTGTTAACACGGTGATGGACCGCCAACCCGTCCATCACAGAACCTCTCCAGAGTCAGCTGACAGGCTCCAGCCTCCCGCGACCTTCTACCAGCATGAATGGGTGTCGATGCTCTTCACAAGTGTTTGATTTCAGTTGACCAGCATCACCCTGCACACAATAAACCTGCTACAAAATAAAAGCCTCCTCGACGTGGAGGTTCACCACATGAATTATTCCTTATATTACTTCTGCTGCCTGGTGTGAGATTCCATCAGAGCAGCTGTGCGAGCGTGTTTTTTTTTTTTTTTTGGTCTATACTGTACGAGGCTGCGCAGAAGTCAGCTGAAGTGTGAAAGCGTGTGTGCCGCGGCGGTGCTTTGCCGGGTTGGACGTGTCAGTGGAGGAGGTGTGCTGCGAGCTGCTGTTAGGTAAAGTGTGAAGGAGGAGGAGGGCGCCTGCCAGCAAACATTTTCACCTTAACTTGTTAACAGCTTATGTGCTTCCAGCTGCTTCACAGCACTAAACACTGGAGCTGGATTAGCTCGGCCTCTGTAGTAACCCGCCAACAGTCTGACACACACACACACACACACACACACACAGGCTCACCGCTGTGTGTCTGGGCGAGGAGGTGGTACGTCTGGGTGCTCTTGGATTGAACTGCATGTGTTGTGCTCTCCGCGGCGGGCTTCTCTTACACCAACATGCCCACTGAATGTCAAGGTCGTCTTGTAGCCTAAATGAGCGGTGGCCGAGCTCCAGGAATGCTGATTGGAAAATGCCTGAGTTGGTCCTCATCTTTTGTCTGTGTGTGCAGGAAATGGCAGCATGTCAAAGCTGAGAATCTGGGCTGTGGAAAAAGGCATGTGATTGGCTTCCATTGAAATCCTCTGACACATGAGACAAAACAATCGGCCCATGTTGTCTTCCCCGCATGCCAAGAAGACAAATTGTAGACGTTGCTGGAGATGTTTTACCATGCCTAATTGCCAGCTACCTATGAAGAACACTTACTGGTGCATGCTCGATGCTCATTTCGCCACTCAGTGAGCCAGAACTAGCTTTAAGTAGATAGATAAGTCATTTAATGAAATTCACTTATGATTCCTTTTGTCTGGCTGCTAGACAGCTTTTGTCTTTGGCCTCCTTCATTAATGTCAGAATCTACAAAGGATTACACAGTGGGACAATGTTAACACGTTTGCTGCTATGATGTTAGCGTGTTGGTTGAGTGTGAGGGTGTAGCTTTATATAAAAATACATATCATATTGTAATTTTAGCATTTTGTTGGATGGAGTCTTTATTTTCTGAATAAACTCATTGAACTGGAGGAATATTTAGATCCTGACCAATGCT